TGCTTGTTATAAAACAGGACACATTGCAAAGGAGTACAAGTCCAGTGCCAGCAAACAATAGCTGAAACCTTACTATAAAGCAGCTGGAGCTATTTATAAAGACAGTGTTTAAAAACAAGTGAATAGCATTATGGATGTTGCTGCCAGAAGAAAGAGAACCAAGGCTACTCCTCAGTTTCAATACAAAAAAAGAAGGATTGATTGGTGCATGACTAATGGTTGGCTCAAATTAGCAAATGGATCAATAGTGCCAATAGTGATGGGAGCTTGTGACAAATATCAAGAGATGCCAACAAATCATAATATGCCAATATGTGAAGGCTATGTTGGGGACAAGAATGTAAAGGTTCTATGAAACAATGGGGGCAGTGGTGCAGAAGTGAGAACTAGTCTCATATTTGATGATCAGATGAGGTATGGCTGTTTGTGCTAATTGATGGGACAGTGAGAAAGTTCCCCATAGTGAAAATAAAGGTGTATACTCCATATTATGTAGAAGACCTTGAGGCTATGTGTATCAAGGAACCAATACATGACTTGGTAATAGGAAACATACCAGGTAGCAGAAATCTGTAGGAACTAAGAAGAGAGAAGTTTGATGAATTATCTGCTGTCACAACCAGAGTTAGAGAAAAGAAGAGCAAACAAGACATCAAGCCCCTTCAAGTGTCAAAAGGCGACATCCTGATATAAGGTTTATAGGGACTGAAGGAAGCATAAAAGAAAGACCCATCACTGCAGAAACTTTGGGAAAATGACAGACAGAATCACAAGTAACTTCCATTGGCCAGGAGTCACAGGGGATGTGAGTATATTCTGCAGATCATGTGACATCTGCCACTAAACACTACCAAAAGGAAAGGTAGCCAAGGTGCCATTGGGAAAGATGCCTCTCATAGAAGAACCATTCAATAGAGTAGCTGTGGAGTTGATTGGACCACTAGCGCCTGTGTTTGATAAAGGCAACTGGTATGTGTTTACAGTAGTCAATTATACAACACATTATCCAGAAGCACTAGCACTGGCAAAGATAGAGACAGAAAAGGTATCAGAAGCCCTTCTGGAGATATTTTGCAGAGTAGGCTTTCTGAGAGAAATCCTAAGTGACAGAGGAATCCAGTTTACCTAAGAACTGATGCAGGAAGTGTGCAGACTCACCAGCACTTAGCAACTCTTTACCACGCCATACAATCCTAAATGTAATGGACTTTGGGAGAGAATAAATGGAGTTTTAAAGAGCATGCTGAGGAAGATATACCGAGAGAGACCACGTGACTGGGATAGGTACCTGCAAGCAGTATTATTTGCTTGTTGATAAGTCCCAGAGGAAAGTACAGGATTTTACCCTTTGAATTTCTGTATGGAAGAACAGTACAAGCAAATATTGAAAGAGCTATGGACTAGAGAAGAAGAGTCAGAAATAAGGAACATGTATCAGTATGTGTTAGACCTCAGAAACCAACTGGAGGAGACCTGACAACTTGCTCAACAGAGCTTATATGCAGCTCAAGGCAGTCAGAAACATTTCTATGACAAGGAAGCCAAGGATCAACATTTCAAGGTTGGACAAAAGGTCTTAGTTCTGCTACTCACAAATCACAACAAACTCACTCTGTAATGGAAAGGACTATTGGAAGTACAGGAAGTACTCAATAGAATGGACTACAAGATGAATGTGAATGGAAAGACCAGGATCTACCATGCCAATTTGTTGAAGGAGTATTATGGTAGAGAAGAAAATCTATCAGGTGCAGCTATTAAAATAGAAATGGATGTTGTAGGTGTAGCAATTATAGTTGCAGAACCATAAGAGAGTGACCCTTTCTTAGAAAATGAGGACCTACTAGACCTAAGACCACTAGGTGGAGATGAGACATATAAAGATGTCAACATCAGTGAAGAACTGACCAGCAAACAAAAAAAAGTATTACAAGACCTACTGTGCCAATATGCTGATATCTTCATGGATAAACCTGAAAAGACAGACCTTGTGCAACACAAGATCGAAACAACAATCAAGGATCCAGTCAGAGTGAAGCCATATCAGATGCCTCATGCAATGACAAACATGATAAAGCAGGAAGTGAAGGCACTGTTGGAAGCTGGAATCATCAAGCCGTCAAATTCACCAGTTCTAATCATGAAGAAGAAGGACAGATCAAACTGCTTCTGCATAGACTTCTGGAAGCTGAATCTCGTGACAAAGTTCAACTCAGAACCAATGGTCAATCCAGAAGCTATCATGGCAAAGCTAGATGGAGCCAAGTTCTTTACAAAAATCGACCTCAGTAAAGGTTATTGGCAAATCCCAATAGAGATGGAATCTAAAGAGAAGACAGCATTTGTGACACCAGATGGATGTTACCAATTTAAGCAAATGCCATTTGGATAAGTGAACTCAGCAGCAACATTCAACCGCATGATGAGAAGGATGCTGTGCAATACCACCAACATTGAGCACCATGTAGATGATGTTCTGACATACACTGCAAGATGAGAAGACCACTTGAAGACTCTTTAACATTTGTTCCAGTGAGTGAGAGCAGCAGGCCTCACCATCAGACCATCCAAGTGCTACATCAGATATGCCATGCTAGAGTTTATTGGATTTATAGTTGGGAACCGACAGATAGCCATGGAAAAGGAGAATATAATCCACATACAAGATACACCAGCTCCAACGACTAAGCAGCAAGTCAGATCTTTCCTGGAGTTAGTGGGATACTACAGGAAATTCATCCCAAATTATGCTGAAATTACTGCACCATTGACTGACCTGACCAAGAAAGTCTTATCCAACAAGGTGAAGTGGGAACAACCACACCAAGTGGCATCCCAGAAATTAAAGAACATGTTAGAAAGCTCCCCAATTCTTAGAATGCCAAACTTTGACAAACCTTTCATTGTCCAGGCTAATGCTTCAGACATTGGAATTGGGACATGAAGAGGGACTGTTTCTTGTAACTTACGTAAGTAAAAAAACTGTCAAATAGTGAAAAGAATTACTCTGTGATTGAACGAGAGTGTCTGCCATTTGGAAGTTCCATAACTATCTGTATGGGAAGGAGTTCATCATCCAGACAGACAATCAACCACTTACATACATTCAGAAGTGCAAGATCAACAGCATGAGAATCATGAGGTGAGTGTTGTACCTTCAGAACTACAGGATCCACATAGAAGCTATCAAAGGGACTACAAATGTTGGAGCAGACTTTGTATGTGAATGAACAAAATTTGTATTTCGTAGAA